ACTCGAAAAAGACAGCCGCGAAGTCACAAAAATCGCACGCGGTGACTTCGAATCCTACTGACTCGCGCACAACGCGTGTTATTTTACCCTACTTTTAATTAAAGCGCGAATTTTTATCTCTCTTGAAATGCAGCTGACAAAATACTATCGATTATTATTTGGAAAAATTAAAGATCAACGATTCCAGCATCGTAGTCGTATATTTCTTCCCAACAAAAATAGGCGGCAAAAACTGACATTTCTATATCTTACGTGTCATATATCGGCCATGCGATGTAATTATTATACGGCGGTTTGATGAGAAAGCATTGATTGCGCCGCGCTTCGCCGCGGCGGACGGCGATTGAACGCTGATTACGGCTAATTATCGAGCGGGCGCGCACTCTCTTACAAGATCCGCCGTTTATAATTCCCCTCGGAAGGAGAAAACTTCCCATACGATTCGCTTCAGGATTCTACGTGCGGACGCGCGCGTAGACACGCACTGGAAAGTCCGCGCGTTCGGTAAACGCACGTCGTACGTTGAACTCGTTGAACGTCGTATTCGCCGATGACGAAGGGGGCAATACGATAAAATATGATAAAATTCGTAATTAAATGAAAATATGAATAAAAGTATGAATTAAATGAACAAATTTGTCAAGTTTACACATTTTTAACAGAGCTCAGTAATCTCTTTTTCAATCGTTCGTTATCATCTGCTGCATTTTTCATTGCATATGAAGTCGCCGGATAGACTATTTTTTTCAGATGTGTTTTCCTTTTTTTTTTAACTCGCACACGGTATTCCGCGGCACGCAAACCGATCAAGTTTGCCTGCCGCGAAAACAAGCCGCTCTTGTTTTCGTGCGATGATCAATCCACCGTGAATCGCCTCCATCTCTCGCATCTCTCCCTGTTTTTGCGCGCAGAGAAACAACAGTTTCGACGTTCTTTCTCTCAACGATAACAAAGGAGCGATGAACGAATCGAGCCCCGTCATTTTACCGAGTCGCGAAAAAATATACTTTCGCCGACGACGAGAGCGACGCGAAATATCTGAGGCGTGTGAAACACATAGTTTACAGCCTAATACATTGGATTCGATGTTTACTCGAAAAAGACAGCCGCGAAGTCACAAAAATCGCACGCGGTGACTTCGAATCCTACTGACTCGCGCACAACGCGTGTTATTTTACCCTACTTTTAATTAAAGCGCGAATTTTTATCTCTCTTGAAATGCAGCTGACAAAATACTATCGATTATTATTTGGAAAAATTAAAGATCAACGATTCTAGCATCGTAGTCGTATATTTCTTCCCAACAAAAATAGGCGGCAAAAACTGACATTTCTATATCTTACGTGTCATATATCGGCCATGCGATGTAATTATTATACGGCGGTTTGATGAAAAAGCATTGATTGCGCCACGCTTCGCCGCGGCGGACGGCGATTGAACGCTGATTACGGCTAATTATCGAGCGGGCGCGCACTCTCTTACAAGATCCGCCGTTTATAATTCCCCTCGGAAGGAGAAAACTTCCCATACGATTCGCTTCAGGATTCTACGTGCGGACGCGCGCGTAGACACGCACTGGAAAGTCCGCGCGTTCGGTAAACGCACGTCGTACGTTGAACTCGTTGAATGTCGTATTCGCCGATGACGAAGGGGGCAAAAACCCCGAAGAGGATATATACGCGTGTCCGCGAGTCTCTCTCGGCAACCTTTTGGACCTCTGATTAAAATGGATGTGCGGGAAGAGACCGAGACGGCATTGAGGAGAGCGGCGTATGCCACGCTATAACTGATTGTTGTGCAACGATGGTGAATTGCATCTTATCACTATGTTATTACGTTGCATCATCTAATCGCGAGATAGATTGCATTCTTCCGAAACGTTATTCTTATGCTATGATTTATCAGAAACTTCGCACGGTCGCGCACGGACGACGTGGCGCCTTCTCGTAACTACCTCCAATTACTTATCCAATTAGCTTCCAAGTAACGGTAATGTTGTTTGTCCTAACACGTAAATGCGATGCACCGCGTACGGAAAAAAATTCACGTTTTTACATGTAAATGCTTCTGTTAATAAACGAGTGGAAAAAGAGAGAAGAATTTCTATTATTGCAGTAATTAATTAATCTTATTCGCAATTAAAAACCTCAACTTAGACTCGATCTAATCTCGCAGAGAATAAGCTTTAGTGTACTTCCTGTAAGAAAGAGAGAGAAAATTTAGAGATTGATTAAAAATTGAAGTGTTATGTAGAATATCAAAAATTATTACTCTATTTATACACATATATCATATATTACATACCGTAAAATAAAAATTTAAGAAAAAAATTTTTTTATATATAATTAAGTATAAAAAAATAAATTTTACATTTTCGCGGAAAAATAAAGATTTTGTAATCGAACTCTACATATAGTACAACTTTATCGAGATGCTCTCTGAATTCGGTCGAGTATACGAACGACGAGTGAGAAGAAGAGGACACGCCGCCGTCGGTTGTCGGTCGCAGCAGCAGAAGAAGCGGAAGAGGAAGAAGAGACCGCGGCGAAGAAGTAGCGGGGCGGGGACGGAACTCCGTCGTAAATCACCGGCAGTACGGAATAACTGGCAAAAGCGCGATAAATCAGGGATTCCCGGGCACCGAATTAGGAAATTGCCTGCTTAAAAACCGCAATGACGTTAATCCCGGCGTGCCAGCAAGCCAACCAGCCAACCAACCAACCAGCCAACCAACCAGTCAGCCAACCAACCAACCAACCAACCAACCAACCAGTCAGCGAGCCAGCCAGCGAGCTGCCGTTCGACGCACGTATATATCGACAATCCGGAAAATAAAACTGATTCGGCTAAGGAGCGATGCCCGGGTGGAATAATACGGAATAAAATCAACGTAACTCAATCGCGCTTGTCTTTCGAGATCAGCCTCCCCGTCTTTGCCGCTGATAAATGTTCGATATACACCACCGACTACCTGTATACGGAAGTAGCTCGTTTTTCTAATTCGCCGTCTGCCACGAGTACATTGGGGAAAAAAACGATGTTTGGGAAAGAACATAAGGCACGATGTTCGATTCGAGAACTACGGTCTTATAAAAACGGGATCACATTGATTCTGATCGAGATTCCAAGAGGAGATAATATTTAGATGAGATTATTAATATCACACAGAGAAGTTTTCATTCTGTACTTCGTACGCCACACAGATCATTAAATTTCTGGGAGAATTAATTATTGATTTTATATTTATGAAAAATAAATAGTTAGGGGAGAATTAATTATTGATTTTATATTTATGAAAAATAAATAGTTAGGGGAGAATTAATTATTGATTTTATATTTATGAAAAATAAATAGTTAGGGGAGAATTAATTATTGATTTTATATTTATGAAAAATAAATAGTTAGGGGAGAATTAATTATTGATTTTATATTTATGAAAAATAAATAGTTAGGGGAGAATTAATTATTGATTTTATATTTATGAAAAATAAATAGTTAGGGGAGAATTAATTATTGATTTTATATTTATGAAAAATAAATAGTTAGGGGAGAATTAATTATTGATTTTATATTTATGAAAAATAAATAGTTAGGGGAGAATTAATTATTGATTTTATATTTATGAAAAATAAATAGTTAGGGGAGAATTAATTATTGATTTTATATTTATGAAAAATAAATAGTTAGGGGAGAATTAATTATTGATTTTATATTTATGAAAAATAAATAGTTAGGGGAGAATTAATTATTGATTTTATATTTATGAAAAATAAATAGTTAGGGGAGAATTAATTATTGATTTTATATTTATGAAAAATAAATAGTTAGGGGAGAATTAATTATTGATTTTATATTTATGAAAAATAAATAGTTAGGGGAGAATTAATTATTGATTTTATATTTATGAAAAATAAATAGTTAGGGGAGAATTAATTATTGATTTTATATTTATGAAAAATAAATAGTTAGGGGAGAATTAATTATTGATTTTATATTTATGAAAAATATAATTTGATTTATTTGCTAAAATTAGGTACTTAAATTAAATCAAAAGTATACTTCTTCAAAACTGGAAAAATGCGCGTTTTTCGGCGAGCCATCTCTCACAATCGTCATTTCGAGAATTCGAAACGCTCGATGCACGACGGATAGACATCTATGACCGATTGCCACGTGACATTCAGTATTGCCAGATTCTCGACAGGATACCTGACAATTGACCGAAATTAATGGCTAACCGATGCGCGAGCCGGTCGCCAGCCGGTCCAACTTCCCATCCGGAATATGAAATGACGCGTTAATTAGTTTTGCCCCGCGGCGACGAGCCTAAACACACATAAACGTAAGCGAGCCGTGCCAATGCGATGAGCGGTAAGCATAAGCGATCGCCGGCGATATTATACGACGCGGCAATCGATTACGACGCAATCGTTGCTGGCGCAAACGCGAGATATCCACGACTCGGCGGTTCGCGGCGGGCCAAATCCGAGCGGGCACGAATGGACAGACGTTCCGCTTCGGCGCATTAATCAAGTTATTAATTATGTAGTCCTCATGCTAATTGAGCCTGTAATCTGCTCGCGCTGCCGTAAAATATCCATGCCGATTTACGCGGAACCAAACGCGACAACAATACGTTATCGTTGCTGCTATCGTCGTTCTACCGTAACTCGCGCATTCCGCTTCCGTCTCGAAACCACGATGCTTTTCTCAAAAATAAAAAAGTAGCTAAGAAAATATGGCGTAAAATGGAAATCTGAGATGTAATAAAGATCTAAGATGCATACCACGATGCGATTTCTTAGAAAAATAACGAAATTATATTGATATCTTTCTATTTTTCCTTTTTATTTCTTATATCAAATAACATAAGCGAGCATTCAAATATATATTTCATAAAAATACGATTGAATCATCTTATAAAAAGGGTATTTTCGAAATTTTCATAGAATGCTTCGCATTTAACTATTTAAACGCGATCGCTTGAATTTATGTTTCAGGAGAGATAGCAGCCATGAAACGGAGGAAAGCCGGAAAGACGATAATCAAGAGGGAACTGCAAATATTCTTAACTTCAGAAGAATATTCTTAACTTCGAGAAACGAATTTATTCTTCGCGCAACTTCTGTTCCATGATAGAGTTTAGCGAAATATCTCGCGCTCGAGCAAGAAATAAATGTTTCAACTCACTGAGAGCTCTTATCTTCCAACAAAAAACCCATGATCCTTAAGCGATAACCACGACGGACTCGCTAATCCGCCAATCAAATTAATTGGACTGCGTACTTCCGCGCGTTGATGAAAAATACCGCCAAAAACAAGTCAGCTTCGGAACATTAATCAAGAAGAGGATAAAAAGGTAATATTAACGCCAGTCGGCAACGGTGGCCGACATCAAAGAACCTCCCCTTCCTTCCTTATTTCTACAGCGGCGTATTTAGAAAATTTTTAGACTTGAATAAATTCCATTTTATTCTTGCTAATTTCAAAAACTTTTCAGATTTCTGTATTATTTCTTACGTATTATTAGCATCTAGTAAAAATATTAGTATATTATATACAAAATATTAGAGTATAAATATTAATATAATATATTTTGCAGATAATGTGTAACACGAAATTTCAGCTTTTAAAATTTTTCAAAATAAATATGTTTTATTACAACTCTATATTATAATAATGCATCTGTATATAAAATGAAAAATTGGATTAATATGTATATAAATAAAATTAATGTTTTAAGATTTTTACTCTTTTCTTATCTCTTTCTATATGAAGGGAAAATTATTTAAAATACATCGCTCTGTTTATTCTTGCTTGTCATTATTTATTTCGCGGTAGCTACGGACCTGGTCGACTCCCCTTTCGCCGATATGATCGTTTTAGAATCCTCGGCGGCACCTGCCGTGCAACCTGGGGCAGCATGTAAGTATATACGCGAATAAGTATACACTTAGTCCCTGTATGCAGGCTGCGTGCGGAGAGGCCGCGGCTACGGTTATTACACGCGTCACGCGGTGTTCCGTACGGTCACGCACCCTCCTCCTTCCTTAAGAAGCCCCCGACGAGGAGGAACCCTTATCGTCACCCTCTATCTTGTCAGACGAACGCAGCCCCATTAAGCCACTTACGATGAACCTTACACACGAGCCAGGAGTGGAAAGGAACCGCCATCCGTTCCGGAGAACAGAATCTATACGCGAAAATGTAAATTTGCGATGATACTGAGCTTTCGTTTCTAATTTTCTATTTTGGACGACTCAAGATATGAAATGTGTAAAAATTTGTAATTAAAAAAATTTGAGAAATAATAAAGTATTTTGGAGTAATCCGATCCTACTAATGTCATCTTGAAATAATCTATCCCCTATAAGTACCATAATTTATTTTCAAACAGATAATTTTCCTTTTTTAGGTCCGAGTGAGATAATAATAATTTTTATGCGAAAAATCATGATTGTGATGCGAAAGAATAAGCGGAATATTTATAGAGAAGTAAAAGAAAAGATTGGATAAAATATCGTCATTATATTTTGTTTACTATCGAGAGAATAACCGTGCATTTCCGTAAAATAATTTTCTCTTCGTAGCGCTGCTCCCTATTATTTGCGCACACGCGAAAAAATTAAGACCACATTAAGTTCAGCACCTGCGTCATACATTTGATAAGATAGAAATCTTTGCTTCGAGCAAGACTTATTTTCGCGCGTATTGCTCTTACGAAGTATACTTTATTCACTGTTCATAATTTGAAAAAAATTATTAGATTAAAAACTATTTTATTTACGAAAGCTCTATATATTTTTCTCTCAACTTTAAATTCTTTCACAAGTTATGAATCAAATATATGATTGAAAATAATAACAATTTTGTACTTTGCGTCAACTTGTCTTTATAATCCATTTGCGTTTCTTTCTTATTTTAGTAAACTTTTCCCAGAAATATACTAATCTAAGCACGTGGTCTCGTTATGTCAGTAGCCAGAATCGCAACTGAAAGACATCGAAAAGCTGCAATATCTCGCGAATATATTCCATCTTAGAGCTCTTTCTATGTCTCTCTTTCTCTTTTCTCTTTTCTCGCCCCAGAATAAACTCGTTCGACCGAATTTTCGAGTTACCGGGCGCGACGCGAAAAATTCCGAGCTGTCGGTGGCCGATATCAAAAGGAAACGGACGAACGAACGATCTCCAGCAACCACCGGTAGTGAACGGGCGCGAGCAAGGAAATTTTCTCGGCCCCGGGAAAAAGAAGATGGTCGATCTTTGTGGAGGAAAGCGACGGCGAAATGCAGACGCGATATACTCGCGATGGGTGTATATATATATATATATGTATGTACATATATATATACATACGCCTCTTTGATATAGTGCGCGAAATCCTAGCGTCTTGAGGAGACGGAAGGCGGAGAGAAGAACCGCCACCGTTATCAGCTCGCAGCAGGATTGGCCTAGCAAGGGGATGCAGGGCTCCGTCGACGGCCAATGGCGTTCTGGTCTCGGCTTTTCAAGGATACTGTCCCCCCCAACCCCTCGCCTCCCCGAAATCCGGCGTGTCCTGGGCACGACATACACACACGCGCGCGCGCGCAAGGCGTCCTCGATGTACCCGAGACTCCGACTTTTCCACCCCCGCACACGTATATACGTCAAGGCCACTGCCCACCGGTCACCAGAGTTCACCATCGTCGCTGTCGGTGGATGTCCAGCTATTTCGTATATTCCACCCTCTTTGCTCAACCCCCCTCGACGACCTCATTTGCCGCTCCCTATCCTATCCGTCCTCCTTCCTCGGAAGTATCTCTCCCGGAAACATCTCCGATTCGCACCACAATGGTTCAGCTTTTTTCCCACTTTCTGGGATTCTAAGGGAGCTCGCATAGAACTGACAATGGTGGTAAGGTATTACGGGGAGAGAGAAGACACACACGCGACTCGTGTGATCCCCATTTCGACAACGCGAAGTGAATAGAATTTACAAGTTTTTATTAACTTTTTTCGCGTAGAAATGCTTGTAACTTTATAAAAATACTGTCGCGTCCTCTCGTCAATCCAAGAGAAATCAGTGTATCTTTTATTCAATAAATTAATAAAATATTTTTGTCGCAGATGCTATTTATTGTCGATTTTATTTTTAATTTTTTAAAAATTTCATATTAATAATATTAATAAATAATAACTAATAATACTAATAATTTTTAATAATGCAAAATAAGAAAGAATTGTAACATATCAGATGATGACGAAATAATCGTTCAAAATTCATTATTTGTCTAAGAGAATATATCAAAATATTTGATATCTTTTTTAGTAATGTCAGCAAGCAATTTTCTACACAATAATAAAAAGAATTGTTTAATGTGAAAAAAAATAAAATTATGTGGTCGTCTAAGGATAAGAAAGTGAACGCGAAAATATAAAAAACGAACGAAAGATGAGGCCAAAATCGCGGCTTCCACTTCAAGGCACTTTCCGCCAGCCGCCGCAACTGTTTCTCTACTCGGGAAAAGAATTATGAAGGCGCTGCGAGTGACATTACGATGCCAACGACAATATAAGAGCATCTTTAAAAGCACCTACTCTTGTCTTCTAACGTTCTTTTTTCTCGGTTTTTTCAACTGACTTTACCGGTAGTTATCAATAAACAGGAAAAAAAAAACTCTGAAAACGTTAGAATAGAGCATCGCAATGGAAATATTTTTAATTACATTGCCAGCGAAAATGTCGCTAGGCACAAATACTAAATATTTCAAAATTATGTTCCATGATCATTTCAGAATGAACGAAATATTTTGAAAAAAATGGATTAAATTGAATCGAATAGAATTTGTTTCTGCGATGTTCGACATTCAATAATCAAAATAAAAAATTTTAATTTATTACTTTAAAGTTTATATAGCAAGTTTCTTGACTACAAATATTTTCGATACATTTTACAGAAGTCCTACTAATTCTTTTTAACTCGCGTTAACTTTTTACGGAGTAAAACAACGGTTTTATTATAAAACGCGATTTAAAAGATGAGGCAGGCCATGCTCATTTGAAACAGACATCGCGATTTTTTAGTCATCAACGTATTCCCCATATCATTTTAATATATTCGCTTCTCTCTCGAAGTATTAGTTGGTTAAGTAATTCTCGCACCAGGTGCATTTTTCTACAAAGTGGCTACCTTTACGGTGCGACTCGCGACGTGGCCAATTAACGCCAAAGATCTCTCAGTGCCAGGCGACACTCTCATTGTCAGCGCAATACAGGTGAACGATAAATACGGGCTGTGAATAAGCGGTAAGTGCCGCGATAGAAAGGGAAAGAGAGGCGAAACGTACAAAAGAGAAGAAAAAGAATATCCACCTATTGATAACATTATCATAAAAGCGACGTTAAATGGTCAACCGCGAGGTTACGTCGACGCGACGCGCCGCTGCTGGCGAACAGCTCTATAAATGCGTTTACTTTGCGCCATAAAAGCGCCGTACTTCGGCTAGCACCGTTAAACGTATACGTATATTGATGGGCACACATATACAAACGCACGCGATACAATGTGTGTCCCTGCGCACGTGTGTGTTTGCGCGCGATGCAGGAAGGAACGGGAACGTCGACGAAGCACCCGGCGCTTTACGGTAAAAGCCCTCTTTGAGTGATCCGTTTATTGGTTGCTAAACATCGATATATTGCTTTCGGGGTTGCGCAAAGAGCCGCGCTCTCTCTCTCTCTCTGTCCTCCCCGTATACATATATGCATACGTATATACGGTGGATATACGTCTCTTTCTTTCCCTCTTTTGCGCGCGAACAAGTATACGTAACACGAGGTGCATATAATACCGTAGTCCCGAGCGTATCACGCTTTCTGAGCTTTTGAAAGCACCGCGACGGCATCACGGGCCGCCGCTATACCGTGAGGCGAATAAATATCTACGGAGAGAGGTGCTGCTGATTTGGAGATAAATCCCGCGAAAATGTGCGTTAACACCTTAAACCGCTATTTCCGCCGTGCGTCCATCGCCAAATGCGCTTCAAATACGATCTGATTTTATATCTTTGATACAACTTGAATATTTGACAAATACGCTTAAAATCTTCTCAAGTTATATATCCTCCCTCCCGTTCTATAGAATATTTTTTATAAATAAATCTAAATATAATTAAGATATATACATATATATGTTTACACATTTTAAAAATTGTAACAAATTTAAATAAGTTATAGACATGCATAATAGTTGATGTGATACTTATTTTAATGAATTTTGAATCAATCGAAAAAGATCTCATTTTGCAGCGACGAAATACGAGATAATATCGCTTCTTCAGTCGAAGCGCGCTTTAAGATATTCCGATCGTGTAAACGAAACGCGCGTCAACGGCGATTCACACAATACACGTGTGGATCAATGCGTAATATATCCACTGCACGTGCACGCGTGTACACCAAAGACGCGTCTTTAGGGAAGAGCGACAGATGATCGATCGACGATTTCTCGGGATAAAACGTGGAATCAACGTGGCTTCATATCGCTTCATCGAGACGTCCTTAAGCTCCCCCATTCTCGTCATCATCTCGAGAAACGCCGTTGGTCACGAAAAATAGCGTATAAAAAGCAGATAATGTCACGAGCCGCGTAAGTAGAATATAAAGCGTCCGTTTTATAAAATGGATATTTCTTATTATTTTTTTAAAAATATGTAGACGTGAGAAGCAGCATTTTTTATCAGAAATTATACAAATTGAATAAGAATACTTTTATTACGATTATTCATCTAAAAAAAATAAAAATTGACGACCATCATAAAATAAACATCCTGTATTTTTAATAATAAAATCATGTATATCGCGATTCTTATCAATATTGCGTGGATCTTAAAATATCCGAAAATCTTGGCCAGCAGCAAGCCATTACCGTAACGACCTCAAAATTTACATGAAATTGCTTATTAAATTACTAAGTTTTTCGGGATGATTTAATGATACCAAAGGCCATTTGTCTCCTCAGCTTTTATTTTCTCCCTCTCCGTTAATAAAGCAATGTGGTTAGGCTTTACGCCCGCGCATGGAACTTTACGTTCATAATTCCTTACTTCGGCTTTTTCTCTTTCTCTCTCCGCTAAAATAATTCATCTAACTTTAACGCGCGTTTTTTCGGTAAGCATTTTTTAAATGCAGAAACATACAAATTCTTTGTACAAATTGAAATCTATATCAAATTGGCTTTAAAAGCTAATTGTATAAGTTAAATTTTATTTCCTTCAAGCCTTTGCTATGAATTTCAAGGATAAACTAATGTAATACAAACTTTTGAAAAGTGTAGATAAATGAGTATACTAATTTTGAAACGTTTTTTTTTTTTCAAAAAGATCTGTAGAAAGACATTATATATTATAGTTTTCTATTATATATATGTGTATAAAATTATATAATTTTTTTATATATGGCATACATGCACAAAAATTTAGTCATATTTTTACCAAAGACAAAGAAGATCGATTGCAAATTTTGCGCGTTTCCCTTTTCCGATATTGGATGCCATCATTTCGACGCAACGCGACATCCGCAATATTTTTGTTTGAATTCCTAAATATCGAGACCGCAGCATACGGATAAAAACGAACAACCCCCTTCTCGAGTAGCGCGGTAGCCGCGGATAGTAATAATAGTAGCGGGAATATTCGACGGTATGTTACGCGTGGGTGTGCGCGGCTTTGCGAGAAGTCAGTTGGCAACATGTGGTTCGACGAACGCAATCTGGCACTGACATTTCGAATTAAACTTGTTGAAGACCAGCCCTCTCCTGTAACTTCCACCAGATGAAAAACAAAAAAAAAACAAAAAAAAGAGAGAATTGGTCGCCGAATGTGAAATTTGTGTGAAAGCAACACGCCGAGATTGACCGACAAAATTTTCCATCAGGAGATTTAACAATCATTATACATATTAAACAATTTTTATTTCGACAAAAATGTCTAAATTTCGTTTAGCATAATATAAAAGCTCAAAAAAATCGTATCGCAATGTTTCTAAAATTAATTCTACTATTTAAAAATTAAGTATTATAATTGAGAATATATTGCGACATAAATATTGACGCGAGAAATATATCAATCAATTTTTCATGGATAGCACATCTTCCTGTTCTCTCTCTCTCTACATGACATAATTATTAATCATATCATATTGAATATATCAAATATTGAATTTCCATTCTGTATAATAATTTCACAAAACTACGGTTGCCGTTTTAAAAGAACTCTGCTGAATCTCAATTTATTAAAAAAATACGCGAATTCTTTGGCACTTCTTTTTTCAACGCGGAAATATCTAGCTCGCAAGCGCCAAAAAAAAAGATTTCTCGCAGTCGTCCTTCTTCAGCCATGCCTTCTTAGCCACGGCTAAGCCGATATGCATTCATTATAATAAGAAATGGAAGGCGCCGAGTGAAAAGTTCGAACGCGCGCACCCCGGCTTATCAACTTCTTCTGAATTTTATATTATTTAAGAAGGTACTTACCCCTATATCTGCCCCGGCATCTGCCCTGTGGCCCATCTATACACTTCTCTCCCGTCATTCGCTATGATGCTGCTTCGATGTAGCCAGGAAGGTCCGCTTAAAATCTTCCGATGTGGCACGCAAAAGCCAAGATGCGCGGCATTTCAAAAGTTCGCCGAGTGCTTATTATCATATTTATTTGTCGTTCGACGATGAACTTAGACGCGGACTTATACACAACGTACCCGTAAACACTACGTAAGACGCGACACGACGCGACGCGGCGACGCGTTTTTTCTTCTCGGCTTTCTTCACTATGTGCAGCAACTTCATGTTGATACGCAATCTATCCAACATAACAATAATAAAATCTATAGTAATTATTCTCTATCGAACGCGTGCTCCCTATGTCTCTTACATTTAAAGGTTGTTCTATATTAGGCACAAACAGCCAATTACTAGTAATTGCAAATTTTGGGAGAAATTACATTAAGAAATAAGGGTATCGATCATACAACTTTTCCCAAGGGCGAAAATGTGAAAAGTAAAAAATTTCGCCACGATTTCGTCAATTTCGCATTGATTTCAATAGTGAAATTTTTCACTTTTCACGTTTTTGTCCTAAGGAAAAGAAAATTACACGATCGATACCCTGAATAGAAATAAAGCTGGGAAAAGATTAAGCCAGAATATAGTTGTCTAAACTTTATAAAAGTAAACATATTGAAAAAATTTAGATAAAAGATATCTATGTATAACATTGAATTTATATATAGATTAATAGCTTTTTCCTATAGTATTTAGGTGCATCACTATTTCCAGCTATTTTTTCTTCTCTTTTTTTTTTTTACATTTTATAAAAGATTCTTTATCTTTTAATGCATTTCATACAATCTAATTTCTACTTTTTAGTTCTCAATATAAATGATGCTTACATTGTTTTTATCATATATTTCTTCCAACTGTTTATTCTTTGCAATTAGCTGAGCATTCTGTTCTAGTAACTAATTAATTTTCTTATCCTCCTCCTTTATCCTTTTTTTTGTTTTTTTAATTGTACTGGAAGAAAATAATTTTGTTAGTAAAATAGTGATGATAACATAGAAAAAAAATATAAGATAAACAATTGATGGGGAAAATTCTAACTCTCTTACATGGTTTATATAAGTGTCCCTCACTATCCTCTTCCAAGCATTGCACCTCTTCAATCTCTTGATTATTTGGTCTTTTCGATATTGTAGTTAATTCTTTTCTGCAACAGATATATTTATATACATATATTGAGACAATGTAATATATAAAGAAACCAGGTTTGGATTCCGATTTATTTGAAAAATTTTACATTTCGATATTTTATTTCTGTCCTATATATAAATATTACCCTAACAACACACATGTTCAAAAGACATCCAGAAGACATCCAGAGGATATTTATAACGTTTTTTGAACGCATGTATTGTTATCAGGGTATCATGTAATTACACAAAAAAGTGTTACTTTAATGTAAAAAACTGCTCTACAAAATAATGTCATTTTAGCTCTTTACAAAACAATGTTATTTTATATATATATATATAATTGTACAAAATAAATGTTTTAATTTCCTACAAAAATAGATATCAAAAAATTCTGCCAACTAACAATAAAATAAATAAAAAGTTATACTATAAAATTCATTTCTTTTATGATTATTTAAATAGAAATATTTTAATCAAAGAATATTATTATACAAAATAGTTGTTTAAATTACCTAAAAAAAATAATGATATAATTCAAACATAAGCAATTGATTAAGCCTATTAAAAATGCGATCGATTCAACCATTATTGAGGTCCAATAATCTAAAGTATTCTCAACTAGTCGACTCGCGTATAGATACCCGAGATGCTTCGCTTTTACTGCGCGTGACTTGGCGCGAGACACTACTATGTGTCTTGATATTAATCGACAATATTGACTTATTTGAACACTTACAAAAAATTGGCAAAAATCTGAGTGAAGAAACAATCTAAACATCAATTCTCCACATGCCAAATAAAATTTTGATTAGATATAAGATTTATTAATACATATATATAAAATTGTTTTTCGCGCGCATAAAGTTTTGCATTGTATATAAACTGTTATATAATTGAAAATTTGTTAAATATATGTGTGTATATTACATTGTATTGTATATATATTAATATATGTGTACATAAATATATTCTTTAGTATCATAAATCATATACACTGAATAGTGATACTATGTGTATGTATATGTGCGTGCAAAATTGTAATTATTACAATTAAGTTAGCAGTGATATTTAATCCAAAAAAGAAGGAAGGCAAGTATATAATTTGAATAAAGGCGACGTAACCGCCACATAAAAGTTATCAATTTTACAAAATCCTATTGAATTAAAATGAGTACCACATTGTCACATATTACACATGCGGTATCGATATGATTGTCGAGAAATACGTGGAAAAGAAAGTGTCACAACGAAATCTTTGCTACTCGTGTTAAATTACGATCTTTAATGTGTGCCGCATAGTCACGATACGAGATCTAGCAATTAAAAGATTATTATTTTTCATTCGCTTTCCGCAGCGTCCGGCAGGCAAAGTGGCCGTGTATACCATTGTAAGTACCATAAATGACTTATAAAAGCGTTTGTATGTAGGACATAGGGGTAAAACGCAGGTAACGAGACATGCGAGCTGAGCCGCACAACACGCGGGATGCTTATCGTTCACTGCGATAAATGACGCAAGTCAAACTGGCAACAAAAAGGACACGTAACAGCTCGTCTGTGATATTAACAATTCGAGATTTAACGAGCGCGAGACACGGATTTGAAACTATTTTTAGTTTCTCGACTGATCTTCTTATATATATCATACTACAATATAATTTTTATTTGTGTCATAACTACTTATCATAACTGAAACCCACTTGCAATTGTTATTGCGTATTAAACTGTCAAATGTAAACATTCAACCAGGAATTTATATGACTATTTAATAGAATGCTTCTTACCTTTTTTTACAAAAAAATAGTTTTTGCGTTAGAAAAAAACAGAATATTTTACATTATTTTATCTTTTTTTAAAGAAAAGATATTTTTATTTTATATATAGAAAGAATTTATGCTTTCGTTTAAAATGGCCATCAACTTACATGTCTCTTAAAATATCATATACTGCAGATTATAAACCAGGTTGCCAATTTACAGGAAGATAGGAGGGAAACAGAAATTCCAACATATAGAATCTCCAACTCAATTCAAGATAGAATCTCCAACCATATATGACCTAAAAAAAAAAATACATATTATCAATACAATAAATTTAGATAAAAAGCATCAAATATATGCAATAAATTTCACAAATAATATAAAATAATTTCATTATAAATAGTAACAATCTTCTAATAGTGTGGGCCCTTAATTACCAATATATATCATAACCTAACATAATACGTATGATAATTGATAATAACGTAAAAACACGTAAAAACAACAGTTTAATTATTAAAACCAATGATGGATAAATTGAAATAAAAATGGCTCTTGTACCTAACAAATCGATAATCAAGAGTTCTTTCTCCTGTATTGAACGAAAGTACATCAGTGGCATATATTATGCGTAGAACTTAACCATTGCCGCAGGCGTGAGGCTCCGCTGAATTTAGTTTTTACAATTCCGCGTGAACGAACGCAACAGGCGGCACTTCCCACACATTCGCGGTTTAAGCGTCGCTGGTTCCGAAGACCGGGGAATGCTTTGTGCCGGAGAGAAGCCGAGAGAGAAGCTATGTCTTTTTGATTTCGCGCGGGAAATATTCGAAAGATATCGCCATCTAACGATTAGCTCAGAAAACATATCGATGACAGCAAAAGGTAAGTGCAATTTACTCATAGGGTAAATGCGATTTATTCGAACGATAAACGCGAATGTTTTTGAGTGAAAATGATAAATTTTACGTTTTTTGTAAATATTTCGAAAACTACTAATTTTAAAAGGGGAGCAATTGTGGATTCTGACGGAGCAATTAAGGAGCAATCGTTTGAGCTATAAATTATTAAAAATTATGAACTTCCAGCGCCAACTTATTTCTGGTGAATTATCCTCGACTCAACTTGCTCGATGGATAATAAAAGTTACCGAACGTAACTTTTGAAACTTGAACACGCATTTATGAAGAGTATACGAAATGGTGATACTGGCAGATATGATAGATTGATATAACAATAGAGGCCCGAAAAAAAAAATGAAAAAAATTATATAAAAAAATTTTGCTATAATATACAATATATTAATAATATTCGAAAATTGCACGTCTTAAAATTTAAATGCTTTTCTATATCTCAAAATTTAGAACTTTTTTACGTTTAATACTTATGCATTATTTTCCCATATCCCTATCTATTTACAGGATAAAAGAAAAGAGCCGCCTCCGTCGCCGTCAAGGGAAGCACCCTCTCTTCTTTAATATAAACTGTGCTCGTAATGTAATGACTCCCACACACATCCTACTAACGTTATGTAAGAAAAACACTTTTCATCGCCTCGATACGGTCAAACGGACAACGCATTGGGTCAGCCAATGCATAATGCATGCGATGTAAGATTAGAAACGGGGCTCGCAAAACTACATGTGTGATGGAGCTGCTTTATACCCGAGAAGAGAAGTTTACCGAAAATGCATACACAACTCTCCCTCTCCCCCTTTTCTCCCATCTCTTTTATCGCCGTAAAGGCGGAATCCGTTCTTCTGGAAGAAAAGCGAATATATATAAGCTAGCTACTTCTCGAATATGACAACGTATTTTATTGCCCTTCCCACCCGACGTCGAAATAAGGGAGACAGCACGATATATACAGGGTGCTTCCAGGTTAAATGGCCAAACTTGAAATATGAATTTAGGATCTCAAAACAAAAATAATTTTCCTCTGAAAGTATGCTCGCAAACGCTTCGTTCAAGAGATATTGACTTCTTAAGTTACAGAATTATTAGGAATGAATAATATCGTTCACCGGATTTAACATTAAATTTTTTTTGTATGGGGTGCTCTCAAGCAAAAAGTGTATAAAGTGCTTGTTAATGATCTTCAATCATTAAAACGAAAAATAGTGCAAGCGTGCGAAGAAATTACAAACGCATAGTCAGCCACTTGCTCTCTCATCAATAGGTGCAATGCTTGTCTCCGGGCTAGAGGCTATCATTTTGAACAGAACATTTAAAAATTAAATTTTGATTACTATGAAACAATAAAGAGGATAAACTTAAATTATTTCGATATTATTCATTCCTATAGTTATAACTTAAGAAGTCAATATCTCTTGAACGAAGCGTTTGCGAGCATACTTTCAGAGGAAAATTATTTTTGTTTTAAAATCCTAAATCCATATTTCAAATTTGGTATTTAACCCGGGGACACCCTGTATATTATTCGATAATATGCGTTTACAAAAAATTACTACATTACTTACGATCAATCTTTAAATATCGCATTTATTTGTATAAGCTATACATTTAATTCGACGTATCGTGTATGCCTTTTTTATATAAAACAAAGTGATATAAATGGAACAAGGGAGATAATATATATGATATATAGATTATTCATGCGTATTTAGAACATTACGAATAATCTTTAAGAAAAAAAGCACGGCGTTTCTCATATATAAAAAATATAATAATATTTTAATATTATATATTATATGTATATATTTAAAGATATTTTTATCATTTAATAAAAATAAAAAATGATTAATTTTTTCTATTACAAGATATTTTAGTTTCCTTGCTTTCTATATGCGTTTGAAAACAATTGATTAGTTTCACCGGAAGATGCTGAAACTAATCAATTGTTTTCAAACGCATATAGAAAGCAGGGTAAGTAAAATATCTTATAATAGAAAAAAATTGTCATTTTTTAATAAAAATATCTTTGATGGTCTTATATATATATAAATTTATGGTTATAAACTTTTTTAATCAAGCATTCTCACAATAATGTAGTAAAAATATTTGATATTTTTGACTGCGATTAATCGATTGTACTTACAATCTCTGACGATTACTTTTTCTTTTTCTTTTTTGAAAATTGTGATGGCACCGGATGAGTAACAAAGGTTTCACTCATCTTATGGGCTAAAACTTCCATGTTTCAAAGACCTTTATTCGGAGAAATATTCCAGAAAGATCTTCTCTGTTCCTTCACAGTTGGTGAAAAGGAAGGGCCGTAGCCAATCATTTACTAGTATTTTCCCAAAAATTGAAAGCTGATTGGTCACGACTCTGGTTGAAACGATTTTTCGAAAGATGCACCGACTGCGTAGACCATGTGAATAAGCCTTTACGAAGATGCCAGTCGCGCCATCACAATAACGGTAGGCTTCTCTCTTCTCTCTGGCTCAAGGTTCTCGCTCGGTTTCACTACTGTTCACTGCGTGCGATCAACGTGCGAATGCCGGAGAGCATGATCGCTCGCACTTCGTAATCGGCCGAAATATATTTTTTTTAATACCTACGACGAAACGTGTTCGATGGTGTAATTTAATTAGTTTTGTATAATCATTATATTCGCGCAATCGAGGCAGATCGCCATCGGGAAACGGTTAAAATATCGCCGAGCACACATCGACGACCCTGTGATCCTGCCGATCACCGGATCACCCCCCAAACCCCACGGCCCGTGCTATTTTTAATGTTTTGTACCGATTGTGGACGTGAGAATGGTCACTCGAAGCGAGGTAAGTCCCCTTTAATCCGCAAACAAGTTAAAATGCAAAAGTGCATGCTTCTCGCATGATCAACTGTGCTGTAAAGGTTATGTCACCGCGTCGCCCGGGTCGAATTCGGCGAGTATTTCTCGTTAATTTCGCGATGTATGTCACAATTTCTCGAGATATCTTTCAAAGTGCTTGATAAACGGACTCGCATTATCCTTGGCTAAAAACAAATTTCCACGAATTTTGCTTGAAACGCTTTCTCGTGCGTCGCTTAACGCGATACCTTGATTGTAATTTAAAACTAATCCCACATATAATTCCTCGTTAAAACATTCTAACGTTTATATTTTATAATATATCACGTTTATTAAATATACTTTTAGCATACTGAACAAAAATAGCATCTATTTTATTCAACTTGTTGAAAATTGTATTAAAACGAATTGTTTGTTTAGTAGAAAGTTGTACAAAAACTATTATCTCTCTCTTATATAAAATATATAATATATTTATTATATAAGATATTAATATATTATGTACAATTTAATAAGCATATTTCTCTCTTCATTGTAACATCAAATTAATATAGTCAAGAGAAAATAATAGATTAATTTATACAATTATGAAAACAAAGATAGAATAATAGCAAAACATGATTTTTTTACAAAATATTTAATAATAATTTTAATTTTAATATTTTTTAAATACAGGATGAGTCTCTAGAAACTGCCTTCTAAGATATCTTCATAAATATAATCTTCATAACTTTTAAAACTTTTTGGCGTCTCCACTTAAAAAAAATTAAGACGACTAAAATGTAGCCTTTTTAAAATTATTTAATTTTTATCGTTTTATCGAAACGTTTTCATATAAAATTAATATTTATGAAGATATCTTAGAAGGCAGTTTCTAGTGATTCATCCTATATATATCTATACATATGTATACATATGTATTCTTATTTTTCCTTTTTCAGATGGATCTTCAATTTTTAGACTTACATGATTTAACTGACAAAGATAAACATGAAATATTAACCATCCTCAGATCTGACACTACCGATACTTTAAAATTACCATGGAATGCTGCAGAAAGTAATAATAATAATGTTAATTCTGCTACACTGACAGAAGTTCCAGCAATTCAGCAACAACATTGGTATAATGGTAAATATGCTGTTTACATCTCTTGTATTGTTTTCTGATTGCTTTCCTATGCAATATATGAAATAAAAAAGTATAAATAATTCTAAAAAAAATCGGAATAAAATTATTTTATATAAGTTTTGTTTTGTTGATTTTCTATATATGATCTTTTATAATATAGTATCAAATAAAAATATATATATATATATATATGTAGTCTTTTATAAATAAAAGACATTCGCTCATTTAGAAAACTTTGTAAAGTATGATAATCTTCGAAAATATCTTATTTACAGCCATGCCACCAACACAGACCTATTCGCAACAGATGATGACACAATTGTGTAATGACTGGCAAGCATCAATGTACAATGTTTCTACAAATGGCCATATGCCATTCATGTCAGGATTGACATATCACCATCCTGGATACAATCTCGGTGTCGAGATTCAAGACGTGAATTACGGTAGGGAGAACGGACGCCGCAACAATCGGGGCAGAGGTATGAGAAGAGACAACTATAATCGAGCAATTAATTCCACTAACGAAGTGCAGTCAGGATACATGGGCGATCAGGCACAATTTCACCCACAAATACATCCAATCATGTACATTTACCCCGATCATCATTCTGTCTCTACGCAACAGCATCAAGTAGCTGTCGGACAAATCTATTACCCACCGCCGATGTATTCATCGATTCTTCATCCACATCCAAACGCACAACCAATTTCATCTAGTTCGCACGCACAAGCGACTTATCCTCCGAATCCACCACAAATGGACAGATGTGTACAACAATCACAATCTGTGCCATTGGAACAATCAAACCAAGAAACCATAAAACAACCAATCATCAAAGTGCAAGATAAACATGTACAAAATACAAGTATTGATAAAGCAGTATGTCATCAAGTAAACGAGGACAACCACGATTCTTTGCAAACTAGTGTTGTTAACAATGTCATTGCCACCATTGTAAATAATCCTACATCAGAATCTGTCAAGAATATAAACGAAAACACTGCCAATACAAAAACCATGGCTAGCAGTGAAAAAGATGTAAAAATATTACACAATACTGTATGGACTGAAAATTGCAATGGCACGCAAATCGACGTATCATGTACAAGTACTAACAATGGTGTCGAAATGAATCAAAATGGTGAGGTGGATAAGACATTTAAAAATGAAACTGCATCCAACATTACAACGATTGTTACACAAACTTTGCCTAAATCTGTCCCTGCTAAGGCAGATAAAAGTGAAATGAATATTGAGGAAAATGTACTAAAGGATGTTCAAGATAATACTGTTGAACATAAAATACTGAATGGTTCCTCAGTCATATCAAATGACTCATTAGTCATGCCAAAAGATCCATCGTCCGCTCCTGTATCTACCACATCGTCTGCGACTACAATCCCCAGATCTTATGCTAGTCTTTTGAAAAAAGATAGCACCGAAACACAGACGCTCACACCTTGTAAACCGACGATACATATGATTGATCAGAATAACTCATCAAAAATGCCAACTCAAAAGGAATCGACGAGCCTTGATTCTGCACCAAAGAATCAAAATGATTCATCCAGCATGCCAAACATAGTAAACGATTACAAGACTTTGCAAAATGGCATGTTACAGAATTGTTATGATGATCCAAATTCATATAGGATAGGTGGTAAGTACAAAAGCCAATCCAATATTTTGGAATGATAAAATTTTTATGCAAATGAACATATTAAAAACATATTAATTTTTTTCAGAATTTTTGTCAAGTTGTCAAATGGATAAACAGACTGTGAGCTTGTTACCAAGAGGATTAATCAATCGCAGCAACTATTGTTATATTAATAGTATCTTGCAAGCTTTATTAGCTTGTCCACCATTTTATAATCTACTCAAAGCTATGCCGCTTCCTAAAAATCGGGGCAAGAATTCTGCTACGCCCTTAATTGACAACATGTAAGTGATCATAATAATATCTCAATACTCTTTTAATACTTCTATTGCAAAAATAACATTATGTATGTATACAATAATAATAATAATATATTACAAGCAAATTAACTTATTTCGTCTTATTAAAAAGGGTCAAGTTCGTTCGCGAGTTTACACCTTTGACAGAGGCTGCTCGCATGCCCAGAAAAGATAGAGTTCATAACAAACGAGGAGAAGATACAGTCATAGATATACATAGTGGTATCGCTTTTGAGCCATCATATATATATACAATGTTAAAGCACACCTCTGCTGCCGGTGCCTTTTCTGTGGAAGGGCGGCAGGAAGATGCAGAAGAGTTCCTATCATGTCTTCTAAATGGCATCAACGACGAAATGCTAGAGGTATGAATTTATATACATCCTATTCATTGTAAAAATATAAATTATTAAAAAGATTTACAATTTTTAATGATTGTAATTTGTTCTAGTTGGTGAAATTGGTCAATAATGATCAAAATGCAGTCACTAACATGGAGAATAATGTCAGTGGTGGTCACGATGAAGAGGAGTGGCAGGTAAGATTGCTAAATAAAGAGTTCATATCTAAAAGATTCCTTTTTATATCAAGTATATATATATATATATATATATATATATATATGGAATATACATATGAATGAAATTCATGAATATACATATATTCATTCTTATGCCAATGTAGGTAATGGGGCCAAAAAATAAAGGTGCTGTCACCCGGTGTACAGAGTTTGGAAGGACACCGTTGTCAGATATATTTCGGGGACAATTGCGATCCAGGGTATCGAGAGCAGGAGAACAGCCGACAGATAACGTGCAACCCTTCTTCACGTTGCAGCTTGATGTGCAAGTTAGTATATTAAGAATTTTCATTGAATTGACTTATACTATCTGAGATTATATACAATATCCGATATAATTTGTTATAGAAAGCTGAGTCCGTGAAAAATGCTCTTGAAATTCTCGTTGGAAAAGATCAAGTAGAAGGAATGACATGTAGTAAAACAAGGCAACAGATAGAAGCATGGAAACAAGTTACATTGGAGGAATTGCCTGTTATTCTTATATTACATTTAAAATGGTTCGTTTACAAATTTGATAAATATTCCAATGGATGCTCAAAAATACTGAAGAGCATGGAATTTCCTGTAGATCTAAAAATTGATGGCAGTAAGTATACCACATATAAATCTAATCTATTTTGCTGTTCTAATCTTCGTGGCCTGATGAGACAAGCATAACATGGAAATTCTTACTTCTGCAGAATTTTTATCACCAAATACTGTGAAAAAGCTAGGGCCGAAGCAAAAACAGTACAAATTATTCGCAGTTACGTATCATGATGGAAAGGAAGCTACCAAAGGTCATTACATCACAGATGCCTTTCACATCGGATATGGATCTTGGGTGAGGTATGACGACAGTGCAGTGAAGAGTGTTCCAGAGAGTAATGTGTTGAGGCCCACATCGCCTAGAGTACCTTACCTACTTTACTATCGAAGATGTGACACTATCGGTAACCAACTGAATAGTACTAAAACCCATTAAGAAATTTAGACGAAAACTTGGATAAGCAAAACTTAGTTATATTCCATTTGGAATGGAATATAATAATTCGCTCACGAAAGTTTTCGTGTAAATTTTTTGAAATAGAATGACATACACCTGTTTTTATAACTTTGAAGTTCTTGTTGATATTTGTATTTAAATAGAAATCTACAAAAAAAAAATACAGAGAGTTTTTATATTATCCGTAATAGCATGGAAAGAGTAGACGTACATTAAACTCTTATAGTACTTCCATGAAATATTCCTATTACGATTGTTGTTACAAGTTCTATACATATATAGTTTCCCTAAAATCATAGAATAAATATAGATAAGCGAAATTAAGACTCGTTGAGTGTTTCAATCTGGGTTCACATTTTTTAGTGGATCTATATAACAGCGTTATATATATATACTAAATGCTTTATACGTTGCAGTTTGTGAGATACTAGAGGAGTGTCTTGTGTATATATATAAATATATATATATTCTTTTTTCTGAATAAGATAACTGTATGTTACTGATTTCCAAATTCTTAGAGGAAATCGAAAGTGCGAGAGATTTTTGAAATTTATGACAATGTGTGTATAAAATATATAGAGAGACAGAGAGAGTGACGCAAACATTATATGTAGATTATTTTTTTATATGATCCTGCTGTACAATGAAAATCAATTCCAACTTGCCAGACATTTTTCGATATGCATGTTACTATTTTTATATTTTCAAATCATGTTAAACACAAGTCATATGTTCATCATGTATCTTATTTGACTAGATCTTTCTATAGATTTCTTGCTCATTAAACCACTTAAATTATTTCAATAATTTAAAAAAAGCTGGCAAAACAAAGATGAAAGACTCGTCAGGAAAATTATATGTAAGATTATTGAACATTTTATATATCTAATCTTTCCTATGTGATACTATATCACATTAATTCTTAAAACTGAAGTGTTCAACAATGCTTATTTATCTATTATGTTTGAATATTATCTATGATATATGACAGTTTGTAATTATAATCAGATTGTTTGCTTTGTATGCAAATAAAATGCCACTTATTTGCGTTGCAAATCTTGTATTAAATAACATTAAAAAAAAAACAATTATATAAGTTTTAGTTCCCTTATATATCAAACTTTGTAGTATATACATTCACTATATAACTAGTATATATATATATGTTTGTATAATATAGATAAGAAATATTCTAAGTTTGAATCTAATTGTAACCTATGCATTAAACATAACTTTCACTTATTTCGAGTTTTGTAAATAAATATTTGAAGTTTATAACAAAAAATAAAACTGTATATATATATGTTATACAAAATTTAGTTGTAATTAAGAAATTATATATATATA